ATTTTTGTCGCAGAAATCTGACAACTACGTAAGATTCAGTTAGTCTGTGACAATCCAAAGTCATAGAATACATATTAATTGGGAGTGTTTTCGGTCGGTTCGGCATGAACTCAAACGTGTGGGTTAGAAGTGTTCGGAAATGCAGAAGCATGTGCATTTGGACGACGGAGTATTTCATCGTGCCATGGGAATCGAATAGCAAGTTCTGTGAGCTGGCACGCGGTCGTATCAAGAAGGGAATGTCGTGACGTATGCTCAATGAGGTTGCTCCTCTTAAAAATTGACATGTTCCATACTGGCGGGAGATTTTTACTTGGTAATTTGCGGAAACACTTGGTGAGTCTTCAGTTGCTCCACGATGGACTGCAGCCTATGGAATATCACACTGATCGCAATGTAATGCGTGGGTGAAAATGACTCCATATTACTGCTGTTTTAGACTGGGTTCAAAGGTAGCGTTTTCTCTGGCTGTTTTTTCAGGTGTACAGTAAGCACGAGGCTGAAATTAACCGGTTTCTTTTGTGCAGTCATTCAATCTCTGCTACCTAAATATCGAGAGAACCTTCGGCCAAAAGCCCAGCAAAGTCCATGTGAGTGGCTCGTGCGTTCTGCGGGAGTGAATCCATAGTAGCTAATGAAACCCGTTTTTAGCGGGCTCTTTTGCCAAAACCTGCCACCTGTTGCTGTGATTTTACTTAGGCTACAACCCGTAATACGTAGGATCGGCTAACATCAGTTTCATTCTTCGTCTGCTTTTTACCTTAGCCAAGTTAAAACTTGTTCTAGGAAATACGGGTTTTGCGGTCCTACGGCACTAAAATGTAAGTGCCAGCGCTTGTGTTGGGGCCCATGGTGATGCATGTGACGGTAAAATATCAGTAAAATCCTGTTAAAGCAAACAGAATGTAACATTTATAACAAGTCACTTTCTGTCACAACTGTCCATTTCAAAGTATACATGAATAATCCCGATTCGTTTGAGAGATTAGCAATCCCCTTTATTAGTATGTCCGAAGTAACCAAACTGGTCTATGAACATGTACGTTGAACCTGTTCTGTTCGCTTCCAGTGGATTCACATAATGGCACAGAATGAAGATGGACTCAACTTTGGATGCAATGCTAGAAGCTGAAGCATTAGTGCCCATCTCACCGACCTTTGACAGTTTCAACCGATGTATGATATTGCATGAGTTGTAAAACCTAGCAGACACGCTGCAGCTCGAGATTCAGACCGTTCTTAAAACTCCATTTCGCAATATGCCAAGACCAGCTGAACTCAGTTCCGAAATGACTAGTAGAGAAACCAGAACATTTTGTTGCCAGTGGAATAATAATCAGGAAACTGATGGAACAGATAGAACCTACTACCACGCAGTCATTTTTGTCCTTCAAGGTTACTTCACTCTGGGTCTCACCGGTTCAATATAGCCTTCCGTTAATCCCTCAGTCCTTTGGAACTTACGAGCAGATTATGCTGATAATCTCATCAGCTGCCACACAGAATACGCAAACGGGCTTGGAAACTTGTGTATATTTGTAATTCACTACTCATGAGGTTGCTGAAAATTCGGCTTGGAAACTATTCATTGGGCCGCACCTTATGGCACGAAGCAACAACCGTATCATCTTCCGAGTTTCCTATATCGAGACTCGGTTTACAAAAGTAGGTGGCAGAAATCCACCTACGTGATCATTTTCCTTGTACGCACAGTTCGTCCTTGTTCTACCTGCATTAAAAACAGTCACCACCAGTGGTGTGACGGTACGTGGCTAACCAAGGCCGCTCTGAGTGTGAGGGCATCAAAGGTGCCCTCCGAACTACCATAGGCGAATCGGTCCGAGCTAGCTCAACTATTCTGCAGCAAATCAACACGGTACAGGTGGTGAGCATGTTGGTGAGGCATGGCAAAACGTGAAAAGAAATGTGCTAGTGGATTTCATTGCTGTCTGTCTGGCTTCTCCGATACGATCAAATAACTACTGGATATAGTTGAGGCCGCTAGCAGTCGTTGACACCAGAAGATCCATAAGAGCGAGCAACCAGTACGACGGCGCACGCGAATCCCTCAAGGGCGTAATAGTGAAGAGTATAAGGAAAGACAGCTTCGGTGGACATCGAAAGCCCACGAGATGCAGGCTTTTACTACCGGGTAACGGAGAAGGATCTCTAACAATACATGGGTGAATTTATGAAATGGCGGTAAAGGACACACAAGGGGAAACGTGAGCGTGGATGTGGAAACAAGGTACGCATAGAAAATGAATTCAGACCTTTTTCAATCAATTGGAAAATGTTTGGGACCGATTGGGAAGTCATCGCTTCAGACCTTGTTTAAACAAATAAGCCAAGGAAAACGGTAGGTGAGCTGTACAAAGTGAGGGGATGGAGGCAATGAACGAGTTTGCAAACGAAACTGTAGGCGACCAGGCTGACGTAACTTGCTAGTGGAAGGGTATTTCTAGCGTTAACAAAGAGTGTTTGCTTGTGAGGTCTCCAAACTAAGATAGTAGAAATACAGTCTTAGGCGCTGTAACCAGTCGCGGTCGGAAAGTACACACACAGTTCAGGAGATGTTTTCAATGTATCTCACACAAAAAGTATGAAGTATAGCAGGTCGGCATAAAAAGTGCGTTTTTACCCCTTCTATAGGAGTCATACGGTGGATTTATTTGGGGGTGAGAGCAGAGTTAAGTAAATGTCCCTAACTCGTATAGGAAGGAACTAGTGGAACAAAAAGCAAAGTTACCACCATCTCTAAAAATTATCTGGATGGGCTGTCCGGAGAAAAGCCACCTAAAAAGTCTAAATCAGTGACAATAAAACGGAAGAGGAAAATAGTTTTACTGAGAAGAGGAACAAAGCACCGCATCTCCGTGTACTGAAAAAAAATAACCAGGGCAACCATGTGAAAAGGAGTATCCAGCGCAATAATTTTTTTTGTATGAAACGGATTGTCTGTCAACGTTTCAGAAAGAGGAAGACAAGACGGCAGCATCAAATGTACTATCTGATAGCCGAAACGGCATTAATCTGTAAAAAGCTCAGAAGGAAGAACAATTTATACGAGGAGTGAAATTTCCATCTGAGGAGTTGTCACTCGATAAGCCGATCAATATTTGACCAGGTGATGTGGATTCCGTGATTGAAGGATGGGCGGCGCCCGCCCCAGTTTGAGTTAGTGACTGCCGGTCAGCCGTTCGTGGCTGAGCGGTTAGCTGGGAAAGCGCGGATTCAAGACTCCCAGAAGTTTCGTGAGATGCGCACTGCTGATGACTGTAAGGGTAAAACGGCGCTTCTCATATCATCAAAACATACTGGCTTCAATTAGAAAAATAAACGTCACTGGAAAATGGGAGGGACAGAAAGAGGATAACTTAGCGGATATAACCTCCCTATGATTTTTATTCGGGCGGGAGAACAATCGACGGACGATGATTTCTAGTTGCTTTCGGAACGGGTGTAATTCAAGCGCTCCTTGAACGTCCTGATACAGGGAAGTTGAAAAACTCATCGGCATAGCACTTGAGCAAATCGAAGAACAAGCCAGCAAGACGGGGAGAAAGTGAGAACAAGCGGGATTCCCGCAAGTATCAAACACTGAAGATTTCAACCGATCACGGCTAATGCAGTCAAAACTGCGTGATGAAAGCTTATGCAGTATTGATGACAAGATTCAATTATGATGGAAAAGATTTCGGGTCTCATTGGTCGCAAGTTTTATTGTTTTACGCTAGGACAAGCATTCATGGTTGTTTTTTCAACCGAATACACAGTAAGCCTTTTCACTGAGGTAGGAAATCACCTTTAGCCAGCACTGAGCGGACGAGGATTCACCGCTTATTTCCTGGTATTCGTTGATTAACTTATCAAAGATATATCGAGAAGAACGAGTCCCCATACGTTCGCTTCAGCCGGGCAGGTGCAGTAATAAAATGTAAAGTTAGGTTACAGCGCTGTACAGCAAGTATAAGATGTTGATATATCCTTATGCAAGGTTGCTAAGTGCATTTTAGCATTCTGCTGTGGCTCCTGGGCAACTATGGCCATTTGCGAATATAGAGCAACTTCTCAAATCCGTCGATAGCCCACGACCGGTTTCGCCCCTTTTTGGGGCTCATCAAGTAGGCGTAATCCCCTGGTTTGCGTCAAGCTTATGTTCTATTTGAAACCAAATTGCATGAAATTAGTGAATATACACTCATTTACAAACTAATTTGGTTTATCGAGAGACTCACCTAAAACCCAGCTGAATCTCCCGTACGTGAGAACATCACAAACGAGAGATTCAGCTGGGTTCCAGGTGAGTCTCTCGAAAAACCAAATTAGTTTGCAAATGAGTATATATTTGCTAATAGAGCAATTCCATCTCGACTAAACTAAACAACATCTCATAAGAGGGGGGGGTGTGCCACCGGTGGGCTGAGTTGACATCTTTCCGTACTGAGATTAGCAGGCGTTGGCGTATTCTACATCTATCCAGTGAAAATCAGTTAACAGGACGTAGCGTGAAACCGCTGCAGGTGGCCATACGTTCATATAGTATGTTCGGAAGAGTGAACAGCTTTGTTTGCGTGCATTTAGAAAAAAACAGCCAAATATTTCATTCCCAATGCGAAAGGGCCACTTACCTTACCTTACTGCTTAGAGGTCATTTTAGTATTCGAAATCTTGAACAATCAATGCATTCTTGAATAAAAGAGGAGATAGTCATTATGGATAAAAGAGCAGTAGTCCAAGGTAATGGACAATAAAATGGGCTACATAACCGTCACACCAATGGGTTAGGGAGTGTACATCACAGCCATCGAACAACCAGTAACACGCGGGGCAGAAAAATGACAGTGGTTGTTCCAACTCTAAAGTTTAATAGCTTCCACTAGATCAATGCGATGGTGAGCTGTCCACGTATTCTCGAAAATAATCCACTGTTTTGTGCAGACCATCACGTATCTTGACGATAGGCTCCCAACCTAGTTGGATTTTTGCGACTTCAATGTCTGGTCGACGTCGCTGTGGGTCGTCCACAGGGATCGAACTGAATTCGATGGAACTGTTGCTCCCTGTCGGTGGGTGATAGGACAAACAGACAGATAAGTGGAAGCTAACCATCATTAGAATAATTAATGATAACAATACACTAGTGCCATATAACATCAGTACAGAGTGGAAGCTAACACACAAAAAACTAGATTAGCTTCCCGAAAAGACACGTGTTTTGGGTCAAAAGGAAACACCGAAGTATCTCCACGAACAAGGGTAGCATCAAGAGCGGCTAAAGGCCTGTTTGAGGAAATACAGTATACCAATGGAGATCCCTCTGGTTCCCTGATGAAAATCCCCTCAGAACTTCCAGATAGTTCCGTTCTGAGTGGTATAGCCTGGAGTCAAGGCCACCCATTCGTCACCAAGGTTTCTGACTTGGTCGAAATCTATTTTATAGAAAACAAAGCCATATGTGTTCTGAAGGCACAAAAGAGAAGTTAGAAGACCCTTTTCTCACGTGAATTGATCCAGTCACAAAAATATGATTAGAAGCGCCCGTAACAGAATGCCCGTTCCTTCAAGCGAGTTACAGCCAACCGTAAGGAAAGACCATTCCATCAAAATGACTAGGACAATTGAACCACTAGAGGTCACCTGAACGCCTAGTAGCGCCCAGAATTCGAACCTATGGGAAAGGGAAAAAAAGGCTAAAAACAGGCTCATGCCAGCACCAATGAGCAGGCTGAAAGATTCAAATTGTTCATCTAATCGATTTAAATGAAGAACAGAATGCTCGTTATATATAGGATAGGTATATCCAATATAATAGGTACTTTGTGGCGCTGGGTGCAGCTTCTTGCGGCACGCCACCCACTTCCCAATAGACAAAACTGTTTCCGAGAAATAAACTCATTTGCAAATCAATTTGGTTTTCGCGAGAGACTCAACTGAATCTCTCATTTATGATATTCTTCAACTGAATGTGCTGCACACAGGCCGCCTCACTTTTTCAGTTGACACGATACTCGAGGAGTTTTAGGCAACATTGTGGGTAGTTTGCTTTATGAAAATACACTGCGATATCTCGAATATCGTGCCAACTGAAACATGAGGCGGCCAGTGTGCAGTTGAAGAATATGATAAACGAGAGATTCAGTTGAATCTCTTGAGAAAACCAAATTGATTTGCAAATGACAGTATTTGTCGAAATCAGTCCCATTTGGGTTCAGTTAGAACATTAGGTCGACAGAAACTCGGGGACTGCACCTACCTGATGAGCCCGAAGAAGGGCGAAACTGGTCGTGGGCTGTCAAAGAGATTTCAGCAACCTTGTGAGTAATGTCCTTCATGAATAGACAAATCCAGTTAGAGGGTCCACTTGCCAAGAGGTCTTCCTTTAGGATTTCATAGATTGGTATCGCTTGCATAATCTGGAGAAGGCTCATTGGTTGAGGCGCGAACTTAGCGACCAGAAGGTCCATGATTCGAACCTAACCTCCCGATTTCGACTGCTCTTGTCTAGGTTTGGGCAACCTGGTCTTGTCTGGGCCCTTGCTTCATTCGGATGGCGTGGCAGCTAGGCAACGAAATGGTGCTTCAGCTGATGGTGGATACTACTGATGAGGCATGCGAGCAGTATGTGTTTTCTCGTAACTCCGATTTGATCTAATGGAAGGTGGTATTTATCAGGGAATTTGTGGGACTGCTTTGCAGCATTCGTTTACGATTGAGTGATAGTCAATGAATTTCCATGAGAACTCAGGAAGATGCGTTCAAGAAGAAGACAGATATTCATTTTTTACACTACAAAATACGTCCTCTTACAGAGACCATGCTGAAACACCACCAACCAACTTTAATCATTATCAAATATGAACGAAACTCTGAACAAGAAAAATATGTGTATGAGGCATCTCGGAAAACCAATACATTCACCGTGAATGTACCTGTGAACTTGCGTATGATATCTGCTAACTCCAACACACTTAACTCCTCCGGATTACCCAGGTTTACGGGTAGTGAATAATTCGAAGCCATGAGACGCACGAGGCCATCGACGAGGTCAGAAACGTACTGAAATGAACGGGTTTGGTTACCGGAACCGTAGACCTGAAACAACAGCAGAATCAATTATTATGAAGAACGACTAAAACTGATCGGCTGTTCAAGCTAGTTGTTGAATGGATTGAGTGAGTAAGCGATTCAAACAACTTGTTGTTAAAGTCCGTGAACTGGTAGGCTGGGACCTCACAGTCAGATGCTTCAGCGCTAACAACATAACCATTCTATCAGTGGCAATGAGAGAATAAGTTTGTTGGCTGGGAAATTTGATGACCCTCTCAGCTAGGTTGCTCCAGAAGAACGGAACAGCACTAGTGCTGTCATGCTTCGTAAAAATTTGTGTTCAGATAATGAGGAAGATACTATAATTGCATAGGGATAAGATGAAGTCAAATGTGAGAGAATTAACATAAATTCACAAAAGTTCTGCACGACTTTAGTGACAAATCCACAGGCTATTGGATCTTACAGTGCAAGCTACAAACATGACAAACTGACAAGACATTAACAAATAAACCCCGTGAATCTGGCCGGTTTGAAAGGGTTGGCCAGTCAGTTTTAAGGGGGTATCTCTTTCATCGAAGCTCCAATGACGAGTGGTTCGAAATTTGTTGCGTGACACGTCTTTACACGATTGATCAAATCTGACAGAACGAAGTTCTCGAAACTCAAAAGTACGGAACCTACGTATCCAAAATGCAAAAGAGAGCCGGTGTAGTCACTGAGTTAGTTTGCCTTCTAAAATATGGTAAAAATTAAATGCAAAATCGTATCGAATTTAGTGGAAATATGCGAGCGATACGTCTGTAGTGATCTTAAAGGACGTAATTGATATATTCTATATGGCGAGAAAGCTAGACGACAGTGAGGTTTCCTCCCTTGATTGATAAACGAAGGACATCAGTCCGTACATCACAAACAACTGTATACAGAAAGAAGTCACACTCCAATCGTTAAGCTGCAATCAGGCTCGAACATACAATGTGTAATAAAAAGGTAGTCGCCTCCAGTCTGTTGCGAGTAGCTTACACCCGAACTACCTCCATCAGTGGGACTAAGGTATCGTAAACGCTGAAGGTCAACGGTCTTCAAAGGGTCTGAAAGGATGATCGCATCAACCAAAACACAGTGGTTGAAAACAGCTAAGAGAAGAAACACCTCGGAGGACATGAGACACTGTGTGAACTAACACAACATCACGGTTGCATTGCAAGCTACAAAAACCCTGAAAACACGCCTCGTTCGCTTAAAAGATTCTGTGCCATTGACAGAATGAGCTGACTGTGTCTACAAATGTGATTGCAAGGACATTCTTTACACTAGTCAGATCGCGAGATAATAACAAGTAAGAATGAAAGGGTACGAGGATTTTCTACGTAAGCTCCCACCAAGCATGCAACAAACCCGAAGAGTGAAGACGATGGTAGTGCACGCCTAACGGTACGTACACAGTTCCCGATCGACTTCGACCAAACGGTTAATGTTTGAAAATAGAGCCGATCTCCGTCAAAAATGGGAAATGTTCGTCCTAGTGTAAATGTTTCACACCGAATGCCACAAATTGGTCCGGGTGAATTATACAATCTAAAACAGTACTCCTATTTTAGTCAAACATCTTTGTTGGATGTGCTTGAGTACCATTTCAAAAGAGGTCACTTCCTGAAAACGATCGCTTTCGGCCAGTCCCTCTAGGTGACTCCTGGAGATTGAGAAGGGTGATCGTTTGATTCATTCCACCCTAAAAAGCTTCATCAACACAAGGCTTTTTTCATCGACTGCGACAGGGTTACAAGTTGTATGGAAATAGTCAGTCCGCTCACAACGGACAAAATGACGATGAACCATCCAAACTGGCGAAAAAGCTGCAACCAGGCCAGAGGGGATGCGAATAACTCACCGTCAAAGGTTTGTTAGTCAGTGACTGCAAGATGAAATTGCTAACCACACGGCCGTCGTCTAGCTGCATCCGAGGACCGTAGGTGTTAAAAATCCGAGCAATTTTGACCGATAGACCAAGCTACAGATAAGAAAGAACACAAAACAGTGCGGGAATAGACTAAGTGAATGCATATCACCGCACCTACACTAGCAAGGAGACTAGCTAGATGAGAAAATCAACGCAACAGCCAGACCTTAGCTAAGATTTGCCATGCATGTACATCTGTGAACGAATACCAGCATGCGCCTGCAAGCTGGGGCATTTAAGGTAGAAATCAGGTGGAACGAAGCAGTACGTAACAGGAGAGCAGCCCTTTTGTCCATCGTCCCACCCGATAATTACCCTTTATTTGTGCCCCAAAGTAAACACTTACATGTGATAGCAATCACGCCAAAGGGCATTATCTAGGCAAGCGGGACAAACAGTGGATTAACTCTATTAAGGCCTGGCAAAGGCAGCGCTCATTAGCTAGATTCCCAAACCCGTGACTGATGACGAGATTAGGCTTCCAAACTCGCACACATATCAAGCGGTAGAAATAAACGCACCCGGTTCTGAGGCCCAACAGGAGGGGGCGCGAGTAGAGTTCGACAGGGGAGGTTGCGAACGGTCGCAAAGCCGACTCATCCAAATGCACCTACGTACAAATCTGTGTACGCCACTAGCGTCCTAGAGAACACTGTCAAGCACAGCCGTTGAACAATTTCTACTGTCATTACAGGACCAATCCGGTGGCGAAAATAACATCAGGCAAAGTGAAACCACATCGATGGTAAGGGTTTTCGAAGCATAGGCACGTTCTGAGATTTACATCTGGATTTTCGGATTGCTTTCGGTTCGCGAAAGCAGGCCACATCGAGGCGTGATTGGGTGAGACACAACCGAATGCACCCTGGCCTAGCTATAACCAAAGTATAAGTGCTGAGTGCCTCCGTTTACGACCATGGTCTTAGCTACCGTGTGATCGTTGAAGACCTGGTGCGCAACAATGAGCTCAAATTGGCTCCAGTCGATTAGGTACTAGCCACTGAAGAAGGTCCGAAGTTCGAAATCGAGGCCGGGTTTCCCAACGCTTCCTGTTAGGCTTGCGCAGTCCGGAGGTAGCATATTCGTTAAGAAAATCGTTCAATTGTAGCACCCTTTCGGTGCCTAGCTGTCATGCCACACGAAGGCTGGGATAGTGCCAGGTTGCCCAAGCCTAAAGGGGGAAGTCGAGAGGCAGAGGTCGGATTCGAACCACGGACCTTCTGGTCAGTAAATTCGCGGCTTAACCACTTGATCCATTTCGCCCCATGTTCGTAGCACTTCCTTCGGGTCCTATGGCCATTATGTGTCACAAAGCTGCTATAACTGAACGATATGGTTTTGACCGAGCAACAATTGCAATTCTATGAGATCGCGTGCTACTACATGGTGGCATTGTGGACATGGCCATTATGTGTCACAAAGCTGCTATAGCTGAACGATATGGTTTTGACCAAGCAACAATTGCAATTCTGGGAGATCGCGTGCTACTACATGGTAGAATTGTGGAAGCTGCTTACGAATACAAGTTGGTCAGAATGGGAAACACCGAAAACAAGCAGCCTAACAGCCTAGCTCAGTGAACAAACAAACCATCAAGTATGTAAACTGTGTTGCCGAAATCACTTAGGTTTTCATTCCGTTTCCTGAGTTTTATAACCTTAGCAACTGATCTACACCTCTTACTTTCTTAGCAAGTGAATAATAAATTCATATACGCCAAATTGGACACATGTCTCCATGAGGAAGCTGCATTGATGAGATAATTACAGTTGAGCTTTGCGTCATACAGTAGCTACCAAATGCAAAGTGACCCTGCTAAAAGATAGACCTACTACCTCACAGAGATCACCTCACTACGAATCCCAGTTAGAAGACGACACGAGCAGAACAATGTAACAAAAGGGTACATGACCGATAGTTTACCCCCTTTTACAAACTTAATCAGTAAGGTTGACAAACGTATGCTTTTATGGGCTTTACAAAGAGTATTCCTTGTCTGGATTATTCGCAGACTGACATAACCCGTAGATGAAATCTACAGGTGGATCTTACTACTACTTACACAGTATAAGTAGTGCACATATAAAAGTCACACCAACGAACTGATATTAGTTACTGTGTTCAGTAAGGTTTGCAGGACTCACTCTGTTGGAGTACGCATAGGTAAGCGTCTCACCCAGGCGCTTGCTCTCATCATAGCAGGCTCGAGGACCGATGGGGTTCACATTGCCCCAATAAGATTCTGGTTGTGGATGTACTGCAGGATCTAAAACAAATATAAGAAAACGTTTATAACAACGGGCAGGCATCTTCATAAGTTCCGAAAAATCATTGGTAAAACAAAAAGCTTCCTGTGGTTTCTTCCTTCAGTATTCTACGCTCAAAGCTGAAATTTTGCGTGTAGAATCAGGTGTCCTAAATCAAGATTTCCTATTACCGACGGTTTTGCGATAAGGTGACCAGAGGTGTACAGGGACAATCCACTAAGGGATTCGTTCTCATAGTGGTCCATCAGGCGCAGTAAACATGATTCGACCAACTGATTTTCGAAGTTCACACTCTTAATACCAGCACTACGTAACTGCTTTCCTCACTTGCGCGCACGGAGTGTACGAACTAATGTTTTTTGCTTGGACATGCTCCGGCATGTCCTAAGTATGTATGTCATTGAACCTGCACGCAAACTAAGCATACCAAACAGGAGTACTAAATCAGAGGTAAGGTTACCAGATGAATACAAATTACCAGACCTCCTCGTGTGGATGTGGCCATCTGACCCTCTTGGTAGGCGCGGGTGACATTCGTGAAAAGATCCCCTTAAATCACAGCCGCAACATCCTTCAGGTGTACGGCCATGCCCTGAACGGATAAATTCTTCTCTTTAACGTGATTTTAAATGAACTGCTCTGGATACAGTGACGTTTGTTCCAAAAGTCGCTCATTTCAAGACGAGTCGACAGATCCACATATATTCTTAACCCCGTAGAATGGAGTACTGAAAAATCGTCGTTTCTGGCTTATCAGAACAAGGCCAAAAAGTGCATTTCTCCCTCATTCCATATGCGTTCAACATATCGTCTGAATACCTTGTGACTGGCAGCCGAAGAAATCCATATTGCTATGGGATTACAACCTGTAATACAAGCTATATGCACACGTTTTCAAAAAATGATACTACTTATAAGGCTACCGAATTGTCATCAGCCGGAAGATTATTGAAACCCGGTACAAGAACGGGAATGGACGCTCACCGCCATAAACCTCCGAAGTAGATGAAAACAGGAAACGGGCATTTGTTCGTCTGGCGAGACCTGGAACGAAACAAGGGAAAGTCGGGAGGATGCGTCTATGCAAGTACAAAAGGACGGACCTGGTGACAGCGAAAAAACAGTTCTGCTTGTATTTTTGGTGGTTGAAAATGCGCCGATACGATGCCCTGGAAACAGTAAATCAAAGAATCAAGATAACGCGGGTGTCATCGACTTATTGGTGCGGTGCATCTAGCATAATAAACGGGAACAATCAAGGTGGCCTGCCTTCGGACAGTTGTTTCACTCGAACAGATAGCCAACCTTGAGGGGTCGACTGGCGGAGAACGATACTCTGGTCTCTCTTGGCGTTAGGCGAAATCCTATACCCTGAAGACCTTACCACTCACAGTTAGGCGCTGCTGCAGCCAACAAGCCTAATCCACACGTGACTGGTCGGAAGATCTAACCATTGAGCTGTCCAGCACCAAGGAGAGTCGTAGTTGATCGAAGATATGAACCCAACAGCCAGTGTCTATGAAATGCCAGATGCCAGGAGCACGTCCAGAAATCATTCAAATTTGAAAAAACGTTGCCGTTTCATACATTTTATGCACGAGGCGCTTTACACGGTTTTTTGAGTTGTCTTGAGTGTTCAATGCACTTGACGAACTTTTGGAGGTTGTTTGGTAACAAACGCTAGTGTGGGACTATCAGATCGATAACGGAACTGAGACATTAACGTTATTACACTTGGACGATTGATATTCACACGTGATTAGCCTTACACATGATCGACACTCTTACTGTGGCGGCCAACGTTTCTCATTCGGTGATAAGATCAGGACCTGAAGATTCATTGGACTAACCGGGGTCCCAAAATGTGATGCTACTGGCAAGTGGGAAGTGCAGGAACCGATTGGAGAAGGTGTTGGATTTCTCACAATAGCAATATGAAAGTTTTCGGTACTGGTGTGATCACGGAATATAACTTCTAAATCGGGGTTAAGGAAGTCTGTATTTCAGACTGTAGGCAAGGAGGTTTTGACCGGAGGGAGCTGGAATACCATTATGGACTCTTCGGGGAAGTCACCCATTGAGGATTAGAACAGTCAAGGTTGGTCGACTCAGTACATTCCAGTCCGGCAGCCAGACTGACAAGGGATTCTGCAAATATCTAAGCTCAGTTCTCAATGCCACTTGGATGACTAATACATACGGTTCACACCCGAACCCGCCAGCTATGGTTTGTCTGAGACCTTATGGGGTCTATTTGTTCCTCGTTTAGGAAGCAACATATGTACGTGAGGGGAAAATACAGTCAGGTTGGGTTACAAAAGAGTACAAGGATCTTGGTTTGAAGAATCGACCGATGTTCATATTAGGTCTGCTTTGGTATTCTTCAAGGATAGTGATTCAACCGTACACATCACAACGCGTATGTATAAACAGGGGACAATATGCATTACGTTATCACTGGTGTTACGATGTTCGCGGCTCTAGCTAGATTCACTGGTTTCCGAGAGTTCCCATGGAGTTGAGTCAACACATAGATATCGGTTGATTCAGTGCGACCGATTCATGAAAACAGGTCCTCTTGACGAATGATGATCATCTAGAAAAGAAGATACTGATCAACCACATAACAGGAGCCAGAACTGCACGTCTCATGGCCAATCCCAGTCGTCGGAACGTACGTGGGATCGTTGCAACCGACTCAACAAAACATCATCGTTTCTTTATCTCGGACGAACTAGATTGGTAACCTTCTAATAAAAGAAAAATAATGGTTAGATAGGGATGCCTATTTCATCCCAATTTCCGGTCGTACCGACCGGCCAGACTGTTCGGTTTGGTACCCGCTATCCAAAGTGACATCAGATTCATGTTCATGCAGTGAAACAAATCGACGAAAGAGGAACCGGGTGTAACAGAGAGTGTGTTAAGGTGGGAGAGGAATGCAGGCCCAAAGTCCGACGTGACAGAAAATCAGGTCATTGTTGGAAGAGACTGACTGCATGCCGGTAAAAGTTCAAAGATCGGAAGGGTCAGGCTTATATGAAGGAATAGGGGGAGGATGGAGGATTAGGAATCTCACAGAGAGCGACAAACTATTAGACACCCAGGAGATGATTACAGTGGAGTACAAGAAGGGTACTATATCTACCCAAGTCGTGTACCCTGTCCAACAAAAGCCCCGTTGTACGACCTACCTAGGATGCCTGAAACGAGCAGGCGAACAAGGGTACAGAAGTTGGTGGTAAAACCTGAAATATTTTTGTCAATGACGATGATTATGCAGATGGTCTTGGTAGCAGTCGGCGATTCGATGATAAGGAAGAACGTTGACTCAACAAATTTCTTTGGACTTCCGGGAATTACTTTCGCAAATGTCCACAATCTTGGGAAGAATGCGCTTCCTCTCTACGACCCGTTTTTTTGGTTCCGGTATCACAGACTCCAAACAAGTTGAGCAACCATTCTGCATAAAACAGTGGTGTAAGGCTTTTCGGCGTGTAGGCGGTCATTGGTAAAGATCTGCATCGAACTCGCAGTTAAGCATCCTAGGAAATTTAGCTTCTGTCTTAGGGGTCGCAAAAATATCAAAACGTATCTACTGAATAGTCCAAGTTTGTTTACTATGTACGCCCCGATGTCTTGCTCCATTCTCTCCCCTTTCAAAAACACAAGCAGCTCATCAGGCATCTGGTGGGCATAG